GTGCTTGGGCCCTGCACCCCATGGGAGACCAGGAGAAGCACCTGGCTCCTGCCATCGGATCAGCGCGGTGCGCCGGCCGCAGCGCGCTGGCCGCGGCGGCCATTGGAGAGTGAACCAACGGCAAAGGAAGACCTTTCTCTCTGTCTCTCTCTCTCACTGTCCACTCTGCCTGTCAAAAAAAAAAAAAAAAAAAGGACACAAGTAAGTGTCCCACACCCCAGTTCCTCCCACAACGTCACACACACACTCGCGATTCCATCTTTGTCTTCTGCAGCCACCATCCTGCCGTGCCCTCCCCTTTTTCTCGAAAGACCAGGGTAGGTGCTGACAGCTGCGGAGCATCTGCTGTGTCCGGCACGTGAGCTGCCTCACCTCCCTGGGCTTTCAGCAGCCCTGCCAGGGAGAAGTGTTTCATTTCTGGAACTGGAGGCTCAGGGAGGGCGGACCCCGGCTCACAGGAAGCAGCCAGCTCGGAGCCGGCGGTCGGCATCCGGAGTCACGGGCGTCATGACTCATGAATCCCCGCTTCATAATTTGCAAGGAGCGGAGGGCTCGTCCCCGCCAGACCTGGGCAGCGTCCTGGGTGTTTGCAACAGCCGTGCAGGGCTTACTGCCCCTACCTTGTGGTGGCCACGGGCTTGTCCCCAGCCTTTGCTGATTACAAACTGGACTCCGCAGACGCCCTGGTGCGCGCCTCTTTGCGCACCTGATGAGTTTTATCGATGCTGCATAATTCTAGAAGTGAATACGTGCCTCTGACTGATCTGCCTTTGGAAGGCAGAGGCAGAGGCAGGCGAAAGGAGAGGTCTTCCAGCTGCTGGTTCACCCCCCAAATGCCAGGCCAAGTCGAAGCCAAGCACCAGGAAGTGACGCCAGGTCCCCCACGTGAGTGGCAGAGACGCGACTGCTTGAGCCATCACTGCTGCCTCCCAGTGAAAATGTGGGCATTTTAGGGTTAAATATCGCGTTGGGCAGGAAGGTGATTATCTTACATTATTATATTACTAGTAATTATCTTATATTACTAGTTCCATAGGTTATAAAAGCGTCTGGGGTGTCTATCTGCCATAGTGGTTAAGACACGCCCACATCCCCCATGGAGTGCTTGGATTTGAGACCCAGCCCCACCCACTCCAGCCTCCTGCCCGTCCTGCCCGTGTGCACCTTGGGAGGCAGCAGGTGTTGGTTCACGGGGTTGGGTCCCTGCCCCTCTGGGACTTCCCAGCTCCCAGCTGTGGCTGAGCCAGCCCTGGCCATTGCAGCCATCTGAGCAGAAGGGGGCTTGTTCTTTGTCTGTCTGTCTCTCTCTCAAATTGAAAAGACATTTAAAGCCGGCGCCGCAGCTCACTAGGCTAATCCTCCGCCTTGCGGCGCCGGCACACCGGGTTCTAGTCCCAGTCGGGGCACCGGATTCTGTCCCGGTTGCCCCTCTTCCAGGCCAGCTCTCTGCTGTGGCCCGGGAGTGCAGTGGAGGATGGCCCAGGTGCTTGGGCCCTGCACCCCATTGAGACCAGGAGAAGTACCTGGCTCCTGCCATCAGATCAGCGTGGTGCACCAGCCGCGGCAGCCATTGGAGGGTGAACCAACGGCAAAGGAAGACGTTTCTCTCTGTCTCTCTCTCTCACTGTCCACTCTGCCTGTCAAAAAAAAAAAAAAAAAAAAAAAAGACATTTAAGGGATCTCATTGTTTCGACTTACGCCATCAGTGAGCGTGAGCGCTGTGTACATATCCTTCCTGGCTGTATGGATGTCTTCCTTGGATTACCTCTTCTTGTCCTTGGGCTATGTTGCTTCCTGTTGGTCTTGTCTTTGGTGTCTATGTTTTGGATTCGAACCTTCTGTACATAGGACGAGTGCTTTTCTCCAGCGTGTCCACCGTTTTTAAACCGTGTGCTTTCTTTCCCGCTTGCCCGTGACCTGGGCATCCTTGAAGGTCATGCTCCTCATCGATATCGAGCTGGCTTACATGAACACCAACCACGAGGACTTCATAGGCTTTGCCAAGTGAGTGCTGCCGGGCAGAGAGGGTGGCACCTCCTGGGTGGGCGCTGGAGCCCAGGCCTGCCGGCTTAGCCCTGTGGTGGGCGTTGGATCTGGGCCTTTGAGGAGGGTCCTGAGACTCCCCCCCCGTTTCCCGTTAGTGCTCAGCAGAGGAGCAACCAGATGAACAAGAAGAAGGCTTCAGGGAACCAGGTGAGTGGCCCTCAGTGCCCCGGCCCGAGGGATGGAGGGTGCCGCACGGACACCAGGCTCTGAGAGCCCCCTCCCCCAAGGGGAAGGGTCCCACCGGGGCCAGGGAGCCCGTCAGCTGCCAGCCGCAAGCTTCCCACTGTGCCTCAGTAACCCTCTCTCCTCTCTCCCCGATGCTTCTCGTGGTTGCTATGGTTACCTCTTTGCAGGATGAGATTCTGGTGAGTACCAGGACTGGGGCTTTTGGCTTGTGTAGCAAGGGGGAGGAGGGGGCCATCGGCAATGGGAACCTGCAGGGGGCAAGAGGGCACCCTTTGGCCGCTTGTACACACTAGCACGTGGGTGTTGCACACTTGCTGTCAGGCCAGAGCAAGGCCTAGCTACATGCGCCGTGCCATGAACCTGTCAGTGTGCGTGAGCCAAGCACCACTTCCGGCTAGACCGTGTGGGGGTGGGAGGCTGAAAAGGCCTGGGACAGAGGAAGTGCTCTCTAAACGTCTGTCGGATGAACCTGTTGAGTGAATGGAGTGGTGAA